GGGTGAGGTTCGTATATGATTTTGCTGTGGACTTCATATCGATATCGTTGGAGGGCGTTTATATCACCGGCTTCTTCGAGGGAAATCTCCTCTGTGCTATTCTCGCCATCAAGGAGGATTCTAGAGATCTGGGATCTGGGATTTGGGGATCTAGAATTTGGGAATCTGCTATTTAGGGCTTAGGTGATAATAGGGTGGCCAACGCCTCGTGAAATTGTCTAACATAGTGGAAGTCATTGGGCTCATGATTCATATGTGGTGTGATAATGAATCGAAGGGATGTAAGAAGCTTTTATCCTTACATAGCCAACGATTCATCATAATGCCAACCATCAACGCTCTTTGCAGGACCTCAGGAAGCTGCTGGCCTATATCATCAACACCTTGTGCATATACTTTCCTAGTTACACATAGAAAAGTGGGTGGTTTTTACGGCCTCGTATATTGTCCCTGGTTATACATAGAAAAGTCTCCCGCACAAAGAATGCGTTTTTTACCGCCTTCCTTCACATACATCTATCTAAAAAGATGTCACAAGACCGCACGCAACTTATTTACAATAATAGTAAATAAAAAAATAAAAACATACAACAGTGAGGATTCGCTGGTGGTCACCCACCCAACTACTAACTCACCGGCGTGTGGCTTAAGTACGGCTGAGCGGACGGGAAGCCCTGTTTTCCACACCCTATGGTCGTATGTATCATGGTACGTGTGAGAAAGAATAATATAGTAAGGCTAGTCAGTATACTATAGAGTGATAAGCCCGGCATATCTACTACCTAGGCCCGTACTATTATGCCTAATGTTATTCCTGGCTGTAATTCTATACATAGCTAATTATCTATGACATGCCCTCTCAAAGGAAAAATGTTTGTACCTAAAAAGATATCCATGGATGCATACGTTATGTATCTTAGTCACATGCAATGATCCCTACCTAGAGCTAAAAATGCCCAAAATGTCTGCGCCTATCAAGGATCCCCAACCTAATTTCAAGATATGTTTTCAAAGTCCGCCGTATGCAAGTTACCGACAAGTACCAAAATCAAGTCATAGAAGTTGGCTTCTCAAGCTCAGTAGCATCTTCAGTTCTCCAAAGCGACGTGACAGTCTTCCACTGCGTATAAAATCGAATACCGTCCTTGCCGTAGAAGTTAAGCATTCCCGTTCCAGCCACGCTTCGCTTGTTACCAGTGAAGGAGAACATGGGAAGGGGGACGGGAATGGGGACGTTGATTCCAACCTGTCCGGACTCAACGCGCTTCTGGAAGTGTGTTGCGCTAGATCCGGACTGGGTGAAAATGACTGCGCCATTGCCCCATTCGTTGCTGTTGATTAGATCAATCGCGCTATTGATCGTATCGGCCTCAATGCAGAGCAACACAGGACCGAAGATCTCCTCTTGGTAGCATCTCATCTCGGGTTTCACTCCGGTGATAATCGTGGGACCGACCTATTGAGTTGACCGTTAGCAGGGCTTTACCAGACGGGTTGAAATTTTCCGCTGGGACTTTCATACCCAGTTTCCATTAGGGAATCCCTCAGGCTTCTGATCCCGACCATCCAAGGCGATAGTTGCACCCTCCTTCTCCGCACTCGAGATGAGATCTACACAGCGATCTCGGCTCTGGGGTGTGATCAACGGACCCAAATCAGATCGTGCGTTGAACCCACTTCCAGACTGGTATCCCTTGGCATTCTCAATCAATTCAGGGAGCCATTCGCGCGCCTTACCAACCGTAATCAAAACGCTCAGCGCCATGCAACGCTGCCCGGCTGCTCCAAACGCAGCACCGGCGATAGCATTCAAAGCATGTTTTTTATTACTATCCGGCAGAAGAGCCGCATGGTTCTTAGCTCCCAGATTCGCCTGTACACGCTTCCCGTTCGCAGTGCCCCGTTGGTAGATATATTCGCCAACCTTATTTGAACCAACGAAAGAGATAGCCTTGATCTCCGGTGCATCCAAGATAAAGTCAACAGCAGGTTTTGAACCATGGATGACGTTCACAACACCCGGCGGGAATCCCGCTTTCTTGCATAGTTCGGCGATGATCATAGAAGCACCTGGTGCGCGCTCAGTCGGCTTCAGAATCAGGCAGTTACCAGTCACGATGGCAATCGGAAGACTCCAAAGGGGGATCATGGCGGGGAAGTTGAATGGACAGATTGCTGCGACGACTCCGAGAGGAAGACGGTAGGAACGGGTTTCCATATCCTTGGCTACCTCGAGGACTTCGCCGGGGAGCTGGGTGGTGATTCCGCAGGCGGTTTCGCAAACTTGTAATCCGCGAAGAACGTCACCCTTTGCGTCAGCGAAGGTCTTGCCTTGTTCTGTGACGATGGAGATTGCTAGGGAATCCATGTTCTCGCGGACCAAGTTGGTTAGCTTAAAGATCATTTCTTGTCGCTTCATGATGCTGGTATCTCGCCAAGCGGGGAATGCATTTTGGGCTGAGATCACTGCAGCTTTGCACTCCTCAAGGGTTGTTTCTGGGACTCGAGAGACTACGTTGTTTGTTGCAGGGTCGTGGACATCGATCCATGTTGTTGTTTTGGAGGTGACCAATTCATTGTCGAGGAAGTTTTGGGTGTCATGGATGGTGTCATGCTTGTTGTGGTCACCTTTATAGTTCAAAGTAAGGAGGTTAGTTTGAGCCATGATTGCGAGTAGAGAGAGAGTTCGAATGTAGTTCGAAGGTGAATGTCTAAGTAAGGACATGGGGGTTAGGTATTTATGTAAATGGGGGAAGTGCGGGGAAAAGCCCGCGATTGTAATGTTACCCCAAATACGATAAAGCCCCACTTAACACATTCCCACATCTTGATGGAATTAAATATGAGGGTTATTACTGTCGTCCTTATCTGTTTAGTGCTGTTTAGTAACGCCCAGGTTATCTAGAACTTGGCAAGACAATCCCCGTATATATATAGATCTTATCTATGTGATTGATGCTATAGCACTAGATTGGATGGAGGCGTATTCCGTGGACATATGTATATAGCAAGGTACGGAGTACACCCTTGGGGATTGTGACTTTTCACTATTTTGACAAAGACATGGATCATACGGCATCCAACATTGGGGATAGTGGAGTATACCCTCAACCAATAGAAAGCAGAAGAAACGCCTGGGGGTCGACAATTGCCGACCTCGGGAGGTCCACCCGAACTCAATCAGAACATTGGGAGAAGCCCATCAATATCGACAGATTCGAATATATTTGCAATTCCTCACTGGGAAACCGATCGCGTTGGAAGTATCTAGACAAAGCTTTGTACATAAGGGTGTTTGGGTATGCTACATGGTCATCATCGAATTAAGCTAAAAGAAAAACAAAGAAGCTAGACAAGATCTATATGGTGTCTATGCTCATGTTCAAATGACACAATACCAGAACAGAACAAATCATACACTAGGATCATGATCATGAGTCGCTCGCATGGATGATACACAACTCCTTTGCATGCCAAATGCGTCGTCGCCGCACGACATCCGCACCAAAGGTATCCATGATACCATCGTCGTTATAGCGAGCAGTGGAATCACCATCATCGTCGAAAGACGGACGTAGGAGTCGGGCTTCCTCGACGCTTGCACCGAGCTCGTATTCGCCGCGGCAGAGGACCGTGACACCAATGGAGGCGTTGGTGGACTCCCCGCTTTGCAGGATAGGCAGTGCTTGTTGTAGCATCCCAGTCCACACGAGACGGCGAGTTAGATCTAGGGCGATGTTGTTTGGCTGGTGGCGGAGGCTGGGTTGGAGACGGAGGAGGGGGTGAATGGGGCGGGAGGAGCGGTTGTGGATGGTGACATTTAAGGTGAGGAGGTCGTCTGTCTTGACGCGGAAGCGTGAGCGGCCCGTTTGCTCCACTGCGTCAGAAGTCTCGGGTGAAGATGATGGCGAGGTTAGAGAAAATTTCACCTCGACATCTTCGAGGCGCATGGCTTCCACCATACGGTTGTTTAGTCGGACGTTTCGCAGGTCAATGGATCCCTCGCGGCCTGTGGCAGGTTCCTTCCAACCTCCGAGAACTCTCTTGAGGAGCTCTTCCCGGAACCAGAAGGCCTCGCGCGAGGCCGCCTCGGCTTCGAAGGATAGTTTGTTGGCGCTGACGACGAATTGCCTCCGAGTGCCGGTGTTGACGACAGGAATAGAGGCATGGGGGTTGTCTAAGTATACGCGAGGCAAAACTAGAACGAACCGACAAACCTGCCCGGGTTGGAGGTCTCCGTCGACAGAGTACTTGCCCTCAAGGTCATCCTTGGTCGTCGCATCCAGTGGGAGAGTTGCTATTGCTTGCTCACTTACGCGCAACCATACCGATAGAGGACTTGGCCAAGCGTTGCGAAGGTCAAGCAATACGACACAGTGATCAGGTCCATAAGCCCCATTCCCGAGACGCCCGAGGACTTGCGAGAAGGGGTCGTTGTCAGTGGCGGAGAGCACATTCGGATTTTGTATTGAATCGACGGGTGGTTCAATCTGGTTTTTCCAGGCGAAGTCACCGCTAAACGGAAGAACGTCACAGCGGGCGACCTCCACGCTCGCATTAACCGTGACTGTCAACGGCACAAATAGTTGTCGGGTATAGAATATATCAGGCAATTCATCCGGGGCAGCCCCGACACAAGAGTAATCGATCTGGACTGTTGTGTCTTGCAAACCAGGCTTTCCGAGAACGTCGACGGTAAAGGTTGCCTTCTGCTCTGCTGCAATCGAACAATCATTGGGGTCCCCGCCCTCACGGCGCCATCGCAAAGCGGGCTTGGTTGCTAATTTGAGTTCCAACTCGTAGATCTCGACCGGCAATAGATCCCTGTTACTCAGTGCAGACTGTAGCTGTTTGGTGGTTGAATCTTGGAAGGTGAATAGGACAAAGTCCACGGGGCACGAAGAGGCATTTTGAAGTGTAATGGTGAAGGTTTTGACTTCACCTTCAAGGACCATCATTGCCGACTGCGATAGAGACATAGATTCGATGATAAGTGACGGTTGTTTGGCGATGACCTTGACTTCACATGTTGATGTTTCAGGACCTTTCTTGACATCAACCTTGCCATCCTTTGAGGTCGTTGAACTCCAGGAAACCGGGCGCTCTGTAAGAGGCTTCTTTGCACCTAAACCTGTTCGCTTAAATTTTACTTCAGGCTCAGGTTTCCAGAATGTCTTGAAGATGGGGAATCTTCGCGTTCGACAGTGGCGAACTTTCACGATACATCCCGTGATTTGAAGGCTGCCTTCCCCATGAGCGACCCCAAAAACAGTAATATCCTGCATAGAGAGGGGGGGAATGACAAAATTCTCTGCCACTGCATCAAATGAGACACCGCTGCTTTCTAAGCGCAAATGTTCAATCTCGATCTCAAATTCGTACGGATTTTGCAGAGTTACTTGGAACGGCGCAGGTTCCTCAGCGACAGTGAGCATTTCCAATGCCTTGCTTGTAGGCTTGGCGAAGGGGTTGTACAGGAATGGATCCTTTTTCACCTTGTCCGAACTTGTGGTAACCGCATCCAATTCTGTTTTGGACCGCCGAACAGGCTTTTTTGGATCTGCCAGTGACAATAACTGGATATCACGTACTAGGAAGTCATCCCAGTACTCCGCGGCCATATCAGAAACACCCAGTCTGGTGCCTGCGCCCACAGTGCGCTTAATGTTGTTCAAAAGACGGACTTGTTCGTCTTGGGGTAGATACGGCGGGGACCGGTACGCTCCACCCAGCATCATATCTCCCCGAATAGTCTGCAAAAGCTCGACCGTGAAACGGAGAACTCCGTTGAAATCCGGAAGGGCTTCGCAGCAGTTAATACATGCTTTCAAGACATCGATTTTCAAGTTCAGGTCACCGTAACGATCAAGAACTACATGTCGGAATGCTCGCTCGGCAATACTAGCAACCGAGTCATATTCAGCGCCTTCCTGGAGCCCATCCACACCAGATGTTTTGCTTTGTCTCTTCTCCCATTCGGAGAACGATGAAGGTTGAACACCGTATATTTCTCCAATGGTCCCAAGAAGGAGACGCACACTTGACTCCATATTCCCGGGACCTGTGTCTAGGGAGTTGACATCAAATACGGTATCGCCGAGAGACGCCAACCCGGCGGCGGGATGGATGCCCACCTCCGCGGCACCAATTTTGCGTGCTCTCACTAAACTTGGTACCATTACCGAAAGAAGCTCACGCAAAATAAATGCTTTCTTTCTAGGCAGATCCAGAATGTTAAGAACAGCAACAACGCCCACGATGATTGGAACAGCGTCAGTTGCAGGTAGGTCTGCACCAGGGGCAAGAGGCAAAGCCCGATATAAGAAATTAGCAATTTCAGACTTTCGGAGCAAAACAGTCCCCCGAGGAAGCTCCAGCTGTACCAATGGAACCAAGTGTTCATTCATCACGATGTGTTTCAAAGCATTGTCATCCAAAGCTCCATCGCGAACTCGAGCTGACACCATCAGCCGCGCTAATCGAATCACCGTCTCTGAGAACACCAGCTGCGGAAGAGGTTCATCTGTGATATTGGCAGCGCGAGTATAAAGATTTAAGATGTTGTTTGAGAGATCTGGTAGGAGATTGGCTAGGTTGTGTAGAGAGATAATCCTATTCCCAGCGGTACTAGGGGTTGTTGAGTCGCGGGAAGGCTTGGAAGATTTGTCCGCCACCGGATACAAGACTGATGGAATCTAGTAAGAAGGTAAGCGATCTGGTACAGGTACCCGGGGAATTTCATGGCGATGTTAGCCATTCACTTACCTGGAAGTCCATGCCTGCCCACCCAAACATCAGCAGGCAGAGAAGAATTGTTTCGAGCGCTTTAGCGTGCCAGATGTAGTCGCTGCTTGCTCGGGCATTGTTCACCGCTTCGGTCAGTTCCTTGAGGGCATCGGGCCACCTTCCCGCCTGCAGGAAAAGAGTTCCAATGATCACTCCGGCACGACCCTTGATCCGGTTCTTAGTTCTGTCCGTAGCACTCATGCCACTGACAGACATCCGATCGCGGCTATGCTCCTTCGGGGATGCTGTTGAAGGTGCTCTGCTGCGCGAGTTTGTACGACTGGATAGGTGAATTGCCCGAGTGATCTCATCAAAGGTTGTAGGAGTCTCATGATCACTAGGGCCTGGGGAGCTGCCGTTGGAACTCAATGGAGTGCCATAATGTGTGTCGTATTGACTCGATTGCAGCTGTGCGGGCATAGTCATACGGTTCAAAAGTCGGTCTACTGGCCTTGGCCGTAGTTCTGGGTTCCGATGCGGGCCCCATGAAAATGCTTTAGGTGACTCGATTGACGGTATGGTTTGAATAGTCTTTGCAAATCCATCCAATTCGGAGAGTAACACAGATGTAATATCGCATAGAACTGTCTTCATTGTTGTGGCCTTGGAGACCTGGGGCGGAGGAACCCAAAGAACATTATCCGGTCCATTCGTGATCTTATCCAAACCATGGTGATCAAAGACCAAGAGTTGATTTACCAAAGCCCGAGGGTTCCTCTCCTTCACCCCACTGAGTTCTTCCAATAATTGATCCAGCCCCTCGGGAGTGGGGTGCTTCTGCTCGTCGCCAGTGCTTTCAGACAGTTCGGACCCATCTGCGATTGCAATAATCACCAATGGCTCTCTGTATAGTTCAAAAGGAAAGAGTTCGAGATGCGAGGTCGGGGGGACTGAGAAGGTAAGGTCATAAAGAATCAATCCAGTAGGAAATGCCAGCGGTGAGAACATGTCTAGACAACAGCAGGTTAGTATATATGGTAGCACTATCCACAAATTTCTCGCGGTGATGAATAGGGCATACTTCTGTTTGGCCGCGCATCGGGACTAATATCCCCTAGTCGGACTACATTTTCAGCTTGTAGTCGGGCAGCGAAGCTCAAAAAGCGCGAGCGCTTGATCTTGCCGATGGGAAGGAGGAGCGCTCTGAGGCGCACGGGCGCAATTGGGGACAGAGGGTCAACACCCATCCTGTCAGTTAAGAGCGATTGATTTTATTAAGCCCACATCCGCACAATTACCAAGGCAAGCTTCCGGGCGTCACGCGATAGGGGAGATTGCGAATGACTGGACGAGAAGCGGGTCCGGGGTCCCCTATGAATGTGTACACACGGACATGATACACGGGAGAAAGGCGGAGAGTGATGGCAATTATATAGCCGATAAGATAGATAACCCCGACGTAAACTCCGCGGTCTCCAAATATCTGCCCTTCTCTCACCGAATAATCTTCCTTTGTTTTGTTCGTTTCTTAGTCTTTATCGAAATTAAACCTCTGCTCAGCGTTCTATCAAATTTTGGTTTCTTGACCTCGACCGCGGCTT